TCCTCCTCCTCCTTCTCCTCCTCCTCCTCCTCCTCCTCCTCCTCACCCCCCCCCATCTCTCTTCTTCACACGGTATTATTACTGTCAGTCCTACCAGCACAGAATTATCTATTCCTGAGTTAAATCATGTAGACGATACATTCCTCGACGCCTTGGCTCAGTCAGACGAAGCAGGTACCACGGAACAGGACAAGCTCATCAGGTCTAGGTATTATATTACCGTGTAATAATATATTTGTACGAGTACCTTGCATAATGGGAGCCACCCCCCCGGCACGCGTCCCGTCATTCGTCGGGAATCCATGTTGCTTCTCTGTGGAGTTGCGCTAATATGGCAACCTCTCTGATCCTGGTACGAAGAGGTAATTTCCACTCGATGTGGGGATTGGCAGGGAACCTTGAAAGGGGCAGATGACGAGTGTTTGCTGTCCTGCTGTGTGTTAATCTCTCGGTGCGGATGTAATTGTTGTCATTACCTACTCGTACATGCTCGTCCCGTGCACGATGATAGTCCTCTACACACACACACACACACACACACACAAACTCTGTAAGGACTACGGGGTATTGACGATGATGATGATGATGATGATGAAGAGGAAGGGGAAGAGGAAGAGGGGGGGGAGAATACCCCTCCGTGATGCCTCTCAGTACGGATGATAGTCGCAGCAATGAATACGAACTGATGGCATTGACTTCTTCTTCAGGGACCTTGCCGAGCATTGACAGGATGAGATGAGTTGGGGGAGCCTTCTCCTCAGTCCTGACCCGAGCCGCAGCCGGCGTCTACTCCGTGCTCTCCATTAGCCGCTGGAGACGTACGTGTATCGCTGCACGGTCGAGATTGGAATAAGCACCTATTGCCGGTATCCCTTCCTCGGTACGACGTATCATCCGCTCTCATGCTACGAGTCCTCCGTTCCCCCCCATCCGAGTCTGGAGGGGAGTCAGCATGGAAAGCATAGGTTCTAGACTCGTATCACTCGTCTGTCTGGGCCCTCCCTGTCTGACCCATGGGGATTAGGGTTGCCAAGATGCTCCGTACATAGGATGAGATTGAACTGGCTGGGCGGTCAGGGGGGGGGGGGGGGGGGGGGGGGGGGGGAGACTCGTGTGCATTACGGTCCACGGACCGGAGCAGAGGAGGAAGACGGTCGCAGGATGCGAGTGCTGGTGGAAGGCGTGCATCGCTCCATCCATGCTCGGTCCGGGTAACGGTCGCAGCACCACGACTCGTACCGTCGTCATCAGTCATCGATGCCGACGGAGAGGAGCACAGCAGACGGCTACGGCCACAGATCGGACGTGACACATACACCTCTCCAAAGCATCCCACGCACATCCGCCCCGATGCGACTCTTCCTGCCTCTCAGCATCTGCCGCATCTGGTACTTTTGACAGGAGGAGAGAGGGTGGAGCACGGCTGCTGCTACCAATACTGACTGTGACTGGTACGAGCATTATGTAGTACCGAGTACGAGCATACCGAGTACCAGTACTCCGTACAGATTACAGATTAGTATTCTGCCGTTCATAATCATGCTACTGCCAGCGCTAATCGCACAGATGCGAGTACCGAGTACGAGTAATCTGAAATCTGTACATGGACGATACCCGTAACAGTACAGGTCATGGCCGTACCTGCGTCGACTTGGGCTGTGTCTTATTTCAGGAACAGGAAAGGCGCCGCCGGCGTGGAGCGGAGTGGGTGTTGATGGTCTCATTTGATTCTTGCCGGCAGCGCCCGAGTCGAGTCTCCCCGGCCTCCTCCTCTCTCTCCTTCTTTCCCCTTGATGGCGAGTACGGCGTGTTGATACATATGACCATCATCGATGGGCAAATACGTGTATGCAATATTACCCGTAGGCTACTCGGTTCAGCATACGGCGTACACGTACCCCAACTTGGCACAATTTCCTTCATCATATGCCAAGGACCTTGTTTTGTTTTGTTTTTCTCAAGCCAACAGCCGCTGTGGTGTTGTCGTTGCCCAAAAAAAAAAAAAAAAAAAAAAGAGTATACACAGGTACGGAGTGTAGTAGTCACCAATCAACCCGATGCCACTCGCTGTCTTGCAATAATAATACTCGACGCTGTTATTGAGAAGGAGATGGGACATCCCAGCCTGACCGCTCCCTAGGGCTGTGAGGGCTGAGACCGGTTTGGGACATCAACGTCGCATCTCTGTCGTGGCAGCTGAACCGAGAGGATGGCATCTGTCTCGGAGGGGAGAGAGAGGGAGAGAGAGGTGTTTGAAACTTGTGATTGCAATTGCGAGTACGCCGTGCCTCGTCGCAGCTCACTTACACTGCATGCATCTTGTCTTGCCCCATGTCAGAAGAGGCCCTGCTAGCCTTTGCGGTGGGTGTGTGCGTGTGTGTTGTGAACTATTGTCTGATCTCGCGGCCCTCCCACGCCAAGCGCGAGATGTATATATAACTCGTAGCAATACGGCGGCGTGCTTCTGTCAGTTGCAAGAATGCAGCCCATGACAGTCTGCACAGCTGTCTTGAGAGTATTATTACCGTATCGACGAGATCATCGGTCGACAAGGGGGGAGGAAGGGGTGGTTGCAGAGCAGAGCAAGAAAGCTCTCGACAGATCCGACCACCGGATTCCTTCGTCTCCTTCCACCTTGCCGGCTTGCTCATCTCGCCGGAGGACCTGACCCGTAAATAATGATAGGTGGCGGCAGCAGGTGAACGAGAGCTACGACTGCAGATGTTGCCACCACATTACCGATACTCCGAGCGGCAAACCCGCCCATGCTAACCCGTCATGGTCATGATGGACCATGAGGCGGGCCCCCCAAATAGCAACCACGTACGACGGATAGCCCGTAAGAGTATCGCTCAGGTATCGATACTACGACAGGATGTAGTGATGAAGACCGGAATACTAATCTGTAGAATACCACGAGCGCTCAATATTACTATCATCGCTCCGTACCTGGCATTGAACTACCAAGGAGCTTCCACGGTACGTACCCCTCGACCCTCTCTCTCTCTCGTCAAACCGGGGCGATCACTCCAGAAAGCTTTGGCCTCTGTTTCGTTTCCACTTATCGAGTCGGCGGATTGAAGGGACGTGATGATAACCCAGCGGGACTCGGTAAGAAGAGGAGAAGGAGCAAGGAGCTGGCAGATGTTTCAGGGAGAAGAAGAAGAAGAAGAAGAAGATAATGGAAAACCCCCGTCTCTGTCCGATCGAACTCTTGCCCCTATCCTGAGTACTGAGTGATAGATAGGATTGGACGAGGAACGAGGAGTGATCATCCGGAGTTTCATCAGCCTGGCTCCCAGGCCGACGACCGATGACCCCTTTCTGCTTGCTTGCGCATGAGGGTCGCCACGTACGAGTAGTACGAGTACGAGTAAAAGAGGCTTTTGGCGTTGTACGGATAGGGATGGCTGGACCAGGACTGACCAGGACTGCCATCTACGTACGTATCTGGATGCGACACCTGCAGCACCACGAGGCTGCCATATGCGTACTCACCCCGTACGCACGGAGTGATATTACTGGTACAGAGTTAAGGGAGGGAGAGGAATCCCCAAGAATTCACTCGACGTATCCTGGTGTTCCAGAGACGATGCCTCCCCCGCAGAGACAGCATGTCTGTCGCGTTTCAAGACAGACGACCACTTCCCTGCTTATCAGCCGTCTTCTCGCATACATGTGGGCAAGCCCGTGCATCAGAGACTGACGGTGCTGCTCGCCCTGGTCTCCTGCGATGTCGTCGCCCCCAAGTCGAGCTGCTTTTCGATGCTCGGAAGTCGACCCCAGTCCATCTCGATGCTTGATATGCAGATGCAGGCACATTGCACGCGTCGCTTGTCTAGACTAGGCAGAATGCCTCTTCGTTGGTGTGTATATGAGGCTGTTCCCGCATACCGATTGACCCGCGCCATCGGCGATTAAATGTAGCCAATGATACTGACTATCAACGTCTTGGATTTGGGGGGAGGGGGGAAGGGGCACGCATCGTGATGCCACTGATCGTAACCACAGACTCATCTAGCTACATGTATGAGCTTTTTAGAAACAACCAGTGATGCCCATGCACGGATTCGAGATGGGATCAACTCCCTACGCAGAAGACACATACTACCATATATATACGGATTCCAACAATCGTAAGCACAATACGTCATGTCCTGTCTTGATTTCCAACCAAAGAAATGAAAAGAAAAGCCATCTGGGGTATACAGGGTAGTTAGATTTCAACACGTGACGTCGCGCCAGCACTCTACGTAGTCGCCCCGCGCGTCCATCCGATCGTTACGTGGTAGTAGGGGAAAAGAAGAAGAGGAGATAGAAAAAGGTAAGAAGATGAGATGCCACTGGGTGACATCTTCCTACACCGGACGTCGCATCAGCAGGGCCAGAGCGTCAAGAAGATGCTACGAACCATGTTGCAAACCCGGCGGATTCCCTACGTCTGCTCGAGATGCTCGTCACGAATTCACCAGCGATACGGCGCCCGCGCCCTGATCCGGGGGGCCACGGGGCCTAGTTCGACCGCGGCGTACCTGTCCACCACATCGTGCAGCCGGGCCGAGCGCCCGACCGCGGCGGCGTCGCCGTCCCGCAGGCTGGCCCAGGCTCGCCCCCCGCCGAAGCTGCCGACGTCCGACGACGGCCGGACGGCGGAGTACCCAAGACCTCTCCCCATCCGCGAGCGCCTACGCCTGTGGGCGGCCGAGAACGAGGAGATCCTCAGGGAGTTCGAGCTGACCGACCACAACGACAGCTCCCTCTCGGGCAAGGCGCCCAACAGCCTGTCGCGGCCGCAGACGACGGCGTCCCCGGACGTGGAGAACCTCGGCACGGCCGCGGTCGGCATGTCGGGCTCGCCCGAGGAGCGCGCCATGACGCAGCTCGACTTCGAGGTCGGCGTCGACTCGAGGCAGCCGGGCGACCTGGTGGAGCTGAGGGCGCCGGGGGCCAGGAGCCCCATATTCGCCGTCTACCTGGGCTTCTTCGGCGGTCGGAACCACTTCTACGGCAGCCAGGGCCGGTGGCTGATGAGCACGGGCTACGGCCCGCTCTTCACCGTCGCCAACTTCGCCAGCGCGGCCGAGATCCGGCCCGTCCTGGATGAGATGCCCCGCTGCCGGACCGTCGAGGACTTCGACCGGGCGCAGCAGGAGGACAGGGGCCCCTCGCGCGCCGCCGCCTCGGCCCTGCTGGACAAGATGGCGCGCTTCAAGAAGGACTCACAGAGCGTCTACCTCGGCAACATGGGCACCCTGGACCGGGCCCGAATCCTGCTGTCGGACCGCGACACCGTCAAGTACATGAGCCTCTTCGAGATTGCCGACGTGCTGCTGCCGTCCTCCGTCAAGCGCGGCGGCGGCGGCGGCGGCAAGGACGCCAACTTCCCCGCCTCGGCCCTGTACGCCGTGCACACGGCCCTGTACCGCGACGAGATCGCCTTCCGGCCGCTGAGCCCGACGAGCGACTGCCACCGCCGCGACCACATGTTCGAGGTGTTCCCGCTGACCTTTGTGGAGAGCATCGGCCGCGTGGCGGCCATGGTGCGCGGGTACTGGGTGTCGGCAGGCCAGATGTCGGACCCGTCGGCGGATAAGGCGCTGCGGCGTACCCTGCTCGGCAGCTTCGTCGACAAGGCGAGGCAGGTGGTGCTGTCGAATCGGCAGAGGCGCGGGTGGGACAGGGGCGCGATCGCGCCGCTCGACGAGGCCACCATCGTGCCCGAGGTGGAGTGGTCCCACGCCAGCTGGGAGATCATATCGTACCTGCAGTGGTGGGCCAGCTACGACCTGTTCGAGCCGAGCTCGCGCTTCAGCTCGTACGGATCGGTGATCCTGCGCGCCCTGGACCTGTACGACGGCGTGCGCCTGGACCAGTCGACGGCCTGGACGCTGCTGCGGGAGCTGGGCGTCGTGCCGCTGTGGGAGGTGCCCTCGCGGTACAGGGTGCGCTTCCCGGGGACGGCCATCGTCCGGGGCGGCGGGCTCTCCCGGTCCGCGGACCCGGACGTCCAGGGGTCCACGCGGCCCGACATCGCGGCCGGGTACCGCGTCGACAGGGCCGACCAGAAGGTCTTCTGCATCGACGGGCCGGACGCGGTCCTCATCGACGACGGCATCTCCCTCGAGCGCACCGACGGGGACGACGAGTTCTGGATCCACGTCCACGCCGCCGACCCGGCCTCGGGCATCCGCCCGGACTCGCCCCTGACGAGGTACATGGAGCTGATACCCCAGAACATATACCTCCAGGGCCACTTCCAGGCCATGCTGTCGGACCCGTCCGGCGGCGGCGTCACGGGGGGTGACATGGCCGACCTGGTGCGCAAGTACTCGCTCGCGCCGGGGGCCCCGGCCCTCACGTTCAGCGCCAGGGTGAACCGGTCCGGCGACATTCTAGACCACAAGATCCAACCCACGACGATCCACGACGTCGTGTACCTGGACCCCCGGGACGTGGCCGACTTCTGCAATCAGCCTGCCCCTCCCGCCCGGCAGACCCCGTCAGACGAGCTCTCGGTAGGCAGACCGCCCGGCGACGGCGACGGCGACGGCGACGAGGACCACCGCCCCGAACCTCGGCCCAACAGGCCGATGACCAAGGCCGCCGACCTAGACGAGGCCAGCAAGGAGATGCTCTCGACCCTGTACACCCTATCGGCGGCCCTGGGGCAGAAGCGCAGGGAGAGGGGCGCGTGGCCACACTTCTTCCCCGGCTCGTCGGTGCAGGTGTCCTACCCGGACGGCGGCAGCGGCAGCGGCAGCGGCAGCGTGGCGGCGGCGGCCGGTTGGGTCCCCGCGGACCCGCACATCACCGTCTCCCGCGAGGAGGACAGGACGTGCTCGGTCGTGGACAACCTGATGGTCCTGGCGGGCCAGGTAGCAGCGCGGTGGTGTTCGGACCGGCGGATCCCGGTACCCTTCCGGCGCGACACCAAGTCGGCGACCAACTACGAGGCGGCCCTGCGCTACGCCACGTCGACCGTGTACCCGCAGATTGCGCGGGGCGTCGAACCCTCGCGCGACCAGCGCATGCAGCTCGCCGCCCTGACGGGGGGCACCGAGCTGTCCACCTCGCCGGGGCCGTACTTCATCCTGGGTCTGGACATGTACGCCAAGGCCACCTCGCCTCTACGTCGATTCTCCGACCTCCTGCTGCACTGGCAGGTCCACGCGGCCCTGAATCAGCAGCAGCACCGACGCGGCACCAGCAAGTCTCGCGTCTCTACCACTACTTCTTCCCCTACTACTACTACCACTGCTACTACCACTGCTACTACTAGTACTACTCCTACCTCTGACAGTGATCCGGGTGTAGACCTGGATCTGGACCTGGACCTGAGCCACCTCCCCTTCTCAGAGGAGGAGATGTCGAGGATCCTATCTCTGCTACATATGCGCGAGAAGATGGCCAGCACCGTCTCGAGGGGGGACAGGGACTGGATCCTCATGGCGCTGGCGCGGACGTGGCGGTTCGGCGGCGACGGCGGCTCCGCGCCGGCCAAGTTCCGCTTCACCGTCACGTCGCGCCGGAAACAGGGTCTGCTGGGTCAGATCGACTTCTTCGGTCTGGACGCCATGCTCGACGTCGACGGTATCGACGGTCTGGTCCTCCTCAGGGACGTCGAGGTCGGTCATGTCTTTGACGTCGAGATTGACCATGTTGACGTTTATGCTGGTGAGATTCGGGTCAAGGCCATTGGTATCGGTACGGGGAGCTGATGGGTTTTTTGTCTCGTCTTTGTGAATTTTTTTTCTTTTTTCAAAAATGTCTTTTTCTTTTATTGTAAGATTACAAACTTTTTGTGGTAGGATTAGAAATATTTTTCTTCTGGTGTAATATGATTATCATAGCCATCGTCACTCGTGTATGTATACCCATGTACGTCTAGCAAAAAGAAGAAGAAAAAAGAAGCCAACACACGTTTATACTATTCAGCTTATACTACTTGACTTGTATTATTACTCTATTCAAGAATCATTTGAACATCGGCATATACGGACTATATGTACATGGTAGATCACTGTGTAGTATTGAATATGAATCTTTCTCCTCTCCTCCCCCCCCCCAATGACCTTGACGTGTACCGGGGACTCAGTAGAGGGTAAGTAAATCTGAAATTGAAGCCTGTACAGATTAACTTGAACCTGGACCCCCAAAGTTGATTCACTGGGCAGTATTTGTTTGTATGTGTTTGCATCAAACAGCCAAATGCAGCCGGAAGAAGGGATAATCCGGGACCGAGGCTGTTGCCTCAGGATGACATAGCAAACATTCTCACGATGAGAGTCATCCTAGATCAATACAACTATCGATCATCACAAACGCAAAGGCTCTTCCTGAAAGAAGGAGCTGATGCACCTGTGTTATCGNCACCAGGATGATAATACGAGCATTGTGTCCAAGTGTTTGTATGTGTTTGCATCAAACAGCCAAATGCAGCCGGAAGAAGGGGTAATCCGGGACCGTAATCGTTGCCTCAGGATGTCATAGCAAACATTCTCACATATAACTATCACGATGAGAGTCATCCTAGATCAATACAACTATCGATCATCACAAACGCAAAGGCTCTTCCTGAAAGAAGGAGCTGATGCACCTGTGTTATCGTAGGGGACGATAAAAGAAGAGAAGACGAAACCAACAGTATTATTACTTGAGAAACCACTCTCTACATGTACGGAGTATTGAATAGCATACAATTGCTCCGTAAATCCGTACGACACATCTCCATGACGATGATATAATAGAAATTATATGATAACCCCTCCTCCCCTCCCCCTCCCCCCCCAAAAAAAGTCATCCGTCACCGCCTTTTATTTATTTATTGTTTTTTTTAAAAAGGGTCGAGGACCCTGAGCTGACGCCAATGGGTAGTCCCCCCCCCCCGCATCCCCAACAAAGTATTTATTACAACTAGTGCGCGGCGGGATAAATCCTTATCTTCCTTGTTTCTCTCTTCTCGATCTACAAAAAAATAGCTTCATGTGATTGGCTAGAGCTGATCGTTGGTGTGTCATCTACATCATGATAAAACTTGGGACTCGGGATACTCAGATTCTTTGTGTGTTCATCTCCATATCATATTGCGGGGAGGGGGGGGGGGGTTGCTTAGGATAACTCATGGTATATATAGTCACCTAGGATACTCAGAAAATGTCATGAAGAAAAAAAGAAATATCAAATCACTTCCCAAATCTACCGGACCCTTTTTTTTCTTCTTTTTTTCTTTTTTTTTATATAAAAAGTAATGTTGTCCATCAAGGTAAAACACAACACAGGGGAAAATAGAAGACGAAATTGGAAAACGAAAAAAAAAATAGTATAAAAAAAGGAGTAAGGACCCGCACGCTATATGACACAAAAAGGTGGAATCCTCATGTGTCCAATGCTGAAAAGACAAGAAAAAAAAAGAACCACCTTTTAAAAAAAATAACCCCATTGCTGGTTTGCTAGAGAAACGCCATTTTCCCCCCTTTCAAGATCGTATATGTTACCGACACAAGTGCAATAAAAAAAAACAGGATACTAAGTAGAAAAAAAATGTACCAAAAAAGCCAACCACCATAGAATATAAAGGAAAAAAAAAGAAACCAGCATAGAGAAAAACCGGTGTGGCCGTTTGCCACTATTGCGCCGTGGCGTCACGAGACGTGGGGAACCCCAGACTTTCAACTGTTGGGATTGGGGGGGGGGGGGGGGGGGGGGGGGGGGGGGGGGGGGGGTGGGCCAGTGTCGTCTCTGCCTCGTGACTCTCTTGTTTTTTCCTTGTTCTCCTCTTTCAAGAGAGAGAGAGAGAGAGAGAGAGAGAGAGAGAGATGTGTTTAGTGTCTCAGGTCTCATGATCTCACCAAAAGAAAAAAAAGAAGAGAAAGAAAAAGAGTGCAAGGTAGAGAGTGCCGATCATGATTGGCCAAACATTCTGAAGAGAAGACGTGCAGGAGCCATTGCCATGTAGAGAGTACCAGTACCAGTGCCAGTGCCTATGCCAGTACCAGTACCAGTACCAGCACCGATGCCGAGAGCAGTAAGCAGACCATGCAGTCACTTCCTCCACCCGACATTCCAGATGACGTGGGCGATGTCGCGGGCCGTATTGACCGTGTCGATGACGCGGCTGAACACGCCGTCCCGCTGGGTGGAGTCGGCCTCGCTGTAGGGCATGAGCATCCCCGAGGCTGTGCGCTTCATGCCACCGTCGTCGCTGCCGCTGGCCGGCGAGTGCCCGTCTTCGCCCGTGAGGGTTCCGGCGTGGCTGATGCTGCTGCTGCTGCCGCTGCTGCTGCGGGGGGAGGTGATGCCGTCGTGCTGCTGGGGGCGCCACGCATCGTCATCGTCGTCGTCGGGGTGGCAGAACCCGTCCATTATATCGGCCTCTCCCTCCTTGCCGTCGCCTTCATCATCCTCGTCATCGTCCTCGTCGCCGAGCACGAACCTGCTGCGGGACATGGAAGGTCGCAGCGTCTCCTGCGACGAGGTCGGAGAGCCCATGGGACTCCTTACGGTGCTGTGCTTCATAGCCGAGTCGGCACGTTCAGGCGTGTCCTCGCGGTACTTGAGCGTGGTGGAGGGGAGCATGGCGATCGTCTTGCTGGTGACGGCCTCCCTCGGAGACGTGGCGCCGGAGGGGGTCTTGTGCCTCGGCCTCCTGTTGGGGACGGGCACCTTCTTGCGCGAGCGGGAGCGCATCATGACGATGCCGTCGTCCGAGTCGCTGTCGTTGTCATCGCACACGGCGCTCTCGTTGCCGTTGCCGTTGCCGC